ACTGACTTCAACTCCTAAACAACAATATCCCGAAGTCTAACCCTGCCGTTGGACCTTACATTGGCCCCAATGGCGGCAATAGGCTGATTCACATCTCAGTTCGCATGGATTAACATGTTATGTCTACTTGTAACCCCATTATGTTTACATCCCCATATCAACTCCCATACCGACCTGAAGGTGATCAAGATGAAGAAGGTGAAACCGCAACTGGTTAATACAATAACATACACCAGCCTGATTGGCCCCCTGATAGTAAGGATATCGCAGTCCCCCAAGATGGACCTTACTCGCCAACTTAATATTGCGCAGAGCTACCCTATACCGAATATTTAAGAGCCTCCGGCTCAAGCCGCCGACCCCGCAGGAGTGAGAGGAAAGGACGTGAGGGTTTATGACCGTTGAGCTTGCTGCGTGTTCCGTTTCATGCCGGCTTTAGGCTTCGGGTTTTTTTAGGGCTCGGGTTGAGTAGACAGGTATTACCCTCAGCGTCCACGTGTTCAAACAGTATGGGCTCTGGCCCTGTACTTCTATACGGACTATTTTGAAGCCAAAGTTTGGCGAATTCAATTACATGGACCCTCAGGGTTGGCAGACCGTGCTGAGAAGATGTCAGGCAGCAAGCGAGCAGCAACAGGTAGCTTTAGTTAACGCTAGCTACCGCTAGCTCTGATCCCGAAGCGTGCCAGCTCCAGCGACGACGTTCCCAGCCCATGAACCCTAAACCCGAAACCCTAGACCCTAAACCCTAAACCGTAAACCCGAAACCCTAACCCTGAACACTAAACCACGGTGGCCGCAGGTGTAAGGAGTCAGAATAGTAAGGTTAGCCAACGTGGTGGCGGCGGCAGCAACAGTAGTAGCAGCCAGCTGAATTTGAGAAGTGCATTACCGCATGCCATTGCGAGTTTAGGGCTTAGGGCTCAGCGCACCTTTTTTGTTTTGTTTCCCTACCATTCGTTCGGAGCTTCATACTCTTTTTTTGCAAAGATTTCATCAGACCGTCTCCAGGCCGGGGGGGGGACCCGAGAGGCGCGGAAAGAGGGAGGTCGACCCCTCCCGACCCATCCAGCACGCCGCCAGGGTCGGCGGATTTTTTGCAAATGCAACCCGAATAATGGCCTTAGGAGAAGCCCCGACAGTTGGCCTCATCAACAGGTTGGTTCATCCAGATGTAGCTGTGGGATCCCATTCAAGTCCCCTAAGTTAAAAGCCATGGCATCGCCAATACTAGTTATTGTTAATATTAGTACATGTAAGCTAAATACTGCCCAAGCATTTGCTTCAATGCTTGCCGTCATACTCATGCTGATATTAAACTACACAAAACGAATTCCACTAAAAGCCTCGATCCGTGCTGTTTTCGCTCTGGAGTTCCCCGAATGTTAGCCCTTTGATTTTTGTTGATGATACCAGCATTTGTTTGTTTACTTCAACATATTGTATATGGCACCCACTTTCTCACTATAGTATATGACCATGCTGGACCATGCTAGACTTGCTGGCGAACTTGCCCATATGGGTGCATGTACATATATGTGTGTATATACACATGCTAACCTTAATGTTAAACCTGTACCAGATACCGACATAACCATCCATACTCGGCTTAGCACCAGCCATATTCTGACCCCGATGTTTTGTTATTTAACTTGCAATCTCAGTCAGGTAGAAGGCATCGTAGTGGTAGCTGTGATAGTCAGCTCTCCATCGACCCCAAAACTGATCCGAACAATGCCTTGCCAATTACCCAGCATATTGTAGAGTATTAATACTCAGCGGAATCGAATCCCAATAGCAAGGAAGCTG